GTTCTGTATGCAACATTCAGGGCAGCAAACCACTATTTGCTATGTAAAGATATAGTGGTGTAATTCATCAGTAATACATCCAAAGCAGAGAATGAAGTCACACTTGCGTTCCGTGTTGTAATCAAAGCTTCTCTGGGGTTTTGATGTGAAAAGTTGGTCCAGCCAAGTCCCATGTGTGTATCCTGGTAGCTAGTCATTACTGCTCTGCACTGCATTCATACAGCAGTTGCCACTGATATTGGGATGGCAGTGTCATGGAAGCATATCGCCCATCCTCTGGTTCCCCCCTGGTCAACACCTTAGCTCTGTCAGCACTGTTGCCAGTGTTAAGCACTGTTTAATATGTTGGACTTTCCAGCCAGAGGGAATGAATTCAGACTGGATTCAGTCACAGTTGTAAACATATTCCACGTCCTCCTCTCCAGGACTCCTTGAAACTGTGACCTCGGTGCTGCTGCACCCAAGCATGGCAGCTCGTTTGGCCGCTGCATGGTGCTTGCGCTGTGTCGCCGTGGCTCTGCCATATCAGTTGACTCCGCTGCTGGACCGCTGTGCAGAGAGAATCAACAACCTGAAGAGTTCACCTGAGGCTGTGAGCGGCTACAGCTTTGCGATGGCTGCTCTGCTGGGAGGCGTGCACCAATGTCCGCTGGGTATCCCCCACTCCAAGGGCAAGGTGTGTGGCCTCAGAATGTAATCTTTCGTACTTCTCTTGTAGATCTATCATTTAGGTCTTTCTGCTTATTTTAGCTGTACCAGCCTTAGTGATTGCATCATATAAATCTACAGGTTGTCTGTGTTTTTTTTCTTGTAGTTGGTAGTGAGTATCGCTGAAGACCTCCTGAGGACGGCTGCTCAGAATAGTCGACTGTCCCTGCAGCGCACACAGGCTGGATGGCTGCTGCTGGGTGCCCTTATGACTTTGGGTGAGCCTCCCAGACATCTCTCTCCTATCTCCTGGCACTGATTTGTCAACAATCTCCCCCTCTCTCACTGACAACATTGCCAATATATTGTGTTTGTTTCCAGGTCCCTCCCTTGTGCGCTATCACCTTCCCAAGATGCTGCTGTTGTGGAGGAACGTGTTTCCTCGCTCCCAGAAGGAGCTGGAAGCTGAGAAGGCCAGAGGAGACTCCTTCACCTGGCAGGTCACATTGGAGGGCAGAGCTGGAGCACTGTGTGGTAAAGACACACACCACCCTGCATACCTGAACATGCTCTATGATGTTAGTAGACAAAATTCTGACTTTGCCTTTCTTCTGTAGCCATGCGTAGCTTTGTGGCCCACTGTCCCGAGCTGCTCACAGAAGATGTGATCCGTAGACTGATGACTCCCATTGAATGTGCAATGACCATGATGTCACAGTGAGTGTGACACTTTCAAGTACAACTGCCTGTTGACAACATAAAGACAAAAAAGGATTTTGTCTTTGTTGCAGGATTTTACGATTTCTGTACTCAGTGTTTATTAATTTTGTAATGTATGATATCTGTTTCCTGCATTTCTTTCACTTTGTCTATATTATATATCTAATTATTGTTCATGTGTTTGTCAGTGTCCCTGCCATCATCAAGGTCCATGGTGCTCACCTGAAAGCAAGTGCAGCAATGGTGAGGCTCCGGTTGTACGACATCCTGGCTCTGTTGCCTCCCAAGACTTATGAAGGTAACACAGTCACTTCTGCTTTTTTCACAGAAGTTAAAGACATTTATTATGGAGGGTGTTTAAAAAAAACAAAACACTATTCTCCTTGTGTAGGAAGCTTCAATGCCCTCCTGAGAGAGCTGGTGGCAGAGTTCACTTTGACTGACAACTCTGCCAACACTACAACCTCCTTGCTGCGCTCTCTCTGTCACTATGATGACAGTGTGCTCATGGGTTCCTGGCTACAGGAGACTGACCACAAGTGCATTGAGGATCAGGTGAGTAGAATAATCAATTATATGAAAGAATCCAAGATATAAATCTTCTACATAATGAAGAATTGGTTACCAACAACTGTCTATACTTTAAAGGGACCAATTATTATGCTGCTTTTCAGGTTTATACTTGTATTTTGGGGTTCTACTAAAACATGTTTACAGGGTTTAATGAACCCTGAAATGAACAACATCACAACCAAGATTACATGTTTCCCTGCCATTAGCATGTAGCTACATGTAACAGTGTTTGTAATGTAAAACACTTGCAGTAGTGTGCCTGGAGCAGATGACCATATAAAGAAATCCGTCATCTTGTAGCCCAAGTAGAAAAAAACGCTGGAAACACAATTTTTAAAAAAACTACAAACCTTTACATCATTACTTGAAACTTTGGCCACATTTAATAAGGACATCTGACATTTAAACATTATATGTAGGACAGAAAATAAGGGAAAGCATGATAGATCCCCTTTAACATTAACCATTCATATCTGATGTCTTGGTCACTGTTGATACAACTGCGTGATCACTCCCTAAACAGCTACAGCCCAACAGCGCGTCTGGCAGCGGAGCTCTGGAACACGATCCCTCCTCCATCTACTTGCGTGTTCCTGTTGGCGAGGCCATCCCAGGACCTCTCCCTTTGGGTGTGTCCGTCATTGACGCTTCGGTGGCTCTGTTCGGTGTGGTTTTCCCTCACGTCTCCTTCAAACACAGGTGACAAGTTTAGTTGTTGCTGCAGACATGTGGACGTATTTGCAACACGTCAACATCTTGCATCTTATCTGCTGTGATATTTGTTCACTTGTCTGTTATGTATTTATGTTCACTGTTGCAAAGCTCTTAATGATGTGCTTGCTTAACTGACTTTGTGTATAATTCAGGCTGCAGATGCTGGACCACTTTGCAGAGTGCATAAAGCAGGCTAAAGGAGTTCGACAGCAGGCAGTCCAGCTGAACATCTTTACTGCAGTGCTTAGTGCCCTCAAGGTGAGAAAACTCCCTTCATATCCTCTTCAGACAGGAATATCATGTTTCAATATTTACGTAATTAGAAATATGTATCTCTTCCTCACTGAAGGGTTTGGCTGAGAACAAAAGTACTCTGGGTCCTGAGGAGGTGCGTAAGTCGGCCCTGGCCCTGGTGATGGGAGCGTTGGACAATCCCAACCCCATTCTGCGTTGTGCTGCTGGAGAGGCCCTGGGCAGGATGGCTCAGGTGGTGGGCGAGGCTACTTTCATCGCCAGAATGGCACAGACCAGCTTTGATAAGTAAGCATTTCTTATCTGTGTTATATTTTTCTTTCGTCTCTCTTTATTCTGCTATTATTGTTCTTAAGATCAAGGGAGACCTGGTGAATACATCACCTTTTATAATCAGTCACAGAAAACAAAACATTTTAACATTTTTTTGTAGGTGTTGTAGATGTTTTCAGAATCTAAGTTCCAGTCTTTGATAGTCTGCACATCTATCTTGAACTGAATCTAGTTTACCTCTCTATCCTTGGCTTTAATCATGTGATCCATATCTCTCTCCCTCCTCAATTTCCAGACTGAAGTCGGCCCGTGATGTAGTATCAAGGACAGGCCATTCACTGGCTCTCGGCTGTCTGCATCGATATGTTGGAGGAATTGGCTCAGGCCAGCACTTAAAGACCAGTGTCAGCATCCTATTGGCTCTGGCCCAGGATGGCTCCTCTCATGAGGTCCAGGTACAGTGAATTACTCAGGAGGAATGGATTTTAAAATTCACTCACAGTTGATGGAGATTAGGAGAGTTGGAGTGGAGCTGGATTATAGATTGATTTACATGGATGAACTTTGCTGTTTTTTTTCTGTTGTATTTGATTTGTAAATATCAGAATCTGTGCTTTACACATAACTAATTCTGGTATCCTCCATCTTTTTTTTTTTTTTTTTTAATCAGACATGGGCTCTGCACTCTCTGGCTCTGATCGTGGATTCTAGCGGTCCCATGTACAGAGGCTACGTGGAGCCGACACTCTCTCTGGTACTCACCCTGCTCCTCACAGTGCCACCGTCTCACACAGAGGTGCACCAGTGTTTGGGGCGCTGCCTGGGAGCACTCATCACCACTGTGGGACCAGAATTACAGGGTAACTGTGGCAGAAATAAATTCACAAACCTCACTGTAGCTCATGAAAGCCATGTAATAGCCAGCAATGTACCCTTTCATGGCCAGCAGGTGGCAGTGTAAGCACACCACAGGCCACTGAAGTGGACTTGAAAACACACTGTGTGCCCTCTAACTGTTTAAAATGCTGTTTCTTTTTGTCTCTCTAATCTGTCATTGGGTTTGCAAGGAAATGGAGCCACTATCTCCACCATCCGCTCGTCCTGCCTGGTTGGTTGTGCCATCATGCAGGATCACTCTGACTCCCTTGTGCAGGCAGCTGCCATCTCATGTTTGCAGCAGCTGCACATGTTCGCTCCACGCCATGTTAACTTGTCCAGCCTGGTGCCCTGTCTCTGTGTAAGACATATTGTTTCACACTAAGAATATGGTAGTTATAGTATTTCCCTATTGTAATCACAATTTCATTCTGTGTTATGGGATCCCTGCAGGTCCACCTGTGCAGCTCTCACCTGTTACTGCGCCGTGCTGCCGTGGCTTGCCTGAGGCAGCTCGCTCAGAGAGAGGCTGCAGAGGTCTGTGAGTATGCCATGAGTCTGGCGAAGAGAGCAGGAGACAACACTACAATCAGTGAGTGTATATTGTAAACCTGACAGGAGCAGCCTGCTCAGTTGATATACCTCAGTGAGACACTGTGGCTCTTACTGTGTTGATTTTGTCTTGTGCTTTAGATCTGAACATCACAGAAACCGGTCTCGAGGGCGTTCTGTTTGGCATGCTGGATCGGGAGACAGACAGGAAGCTGTGTTCTGATATCCATGACACACTGGGCCACATGCTGTCGTCTCTTGCTGTGGAAAAGCTTTCTCATTGGCTGAAACTTTGCAAGGATGTCCTGGCAGCAACTACAGGTAAATCTTCAAAACAGTAAAATATGACACATTACCATTTTCTGTCTCCAAGAAAATTAAGGCTGGAACTGAAACTAAAGAACATATCACACAGCAATCAAGTTTATTTTGCTGCCCAATCTCAGTTCAAATGCTTGTGACTAAATCTTCTTTGAAACCCTTATATCATCAATGTGTCAATCTCCTCTTTCAGATGTAGGAGGAGCCGTTGTATTTGAGGTGGAAAAGGATGAGGAAGACTCTGAGAAAAAAGACGAGATGGACGACGACACCATGTTCACAGGCCTGGGTGAAGATGACAAGTCCAAGCCCTCCGTAGCGCCGCGCTGGGTGACACGGGTATTTGCCGCGGACTGCTTGTGCCGCATCATCCTGCTGTGTGAGAATGACAAAGCGCACTTTGACCTGGCAGCTGCACGTTCTGCACAAGCCAAGAACCCCAAAGGTACCGTTCACCATGCTGCCAGAACAGAGTAGCTCACTTCCAAGGATTTGTGATTGATTTATGCCTCCTGTGATCTGTTGTCTGTGCTTCAAATTAATTTTCTAAAGTCATTACCAGTATTAAAAGTGTGGCTTACATAAATTAAAGGAATTGATTTTTTTTACTAACCAGTAGCCTAGCTGTTTTTAATACAGACTGTCGAGGTTGCTGGAATATTAAATGTTGTGTGTGCTTTTATGTAAAGATGGACCAAAGCTAGAGGTAAGGTAGCAAAAGTGGGAGGGATTGTTTTCACCGTGACAGATAAAAGAGCCAGTATTTAAATAAGCTCTTCCAAAATAAGGAAAGATTCCACAGGTTAGATAGTAATAGCACAGTGTGGTGATTTTGCAGCTCTGAAAGCAGCTAAGCCAAAATTTTGATTGGGATTGAGTGGATGGTTCCTCTGCATGCTGGCGTGTCCAACTAATCCTTTGAGAGGTGCACTTTAGCTAATACTCAATTAAATCTTAGCCTCAAGGTCAATATACAGTTTCTTTGGAGTCACTGCAAGCACGCACTGAAACCCTAAAAACTGATTTGTGTGTCTTGTTATTTAATCTTCAGTATATTCTCACAAAGAGGAAGGCAACAATTTTACCTTCTCATTTACATGCAACCCATCAGCAGAGGATTACTTAAGCATTTATTCAACAGTGACTGGCAAATGTTGAACAGAAATCTCTGATAAATTCTATTGTCTGATTGATTAATGTGGCTGCTCACTGAGATCTCATGTCTCACAATGATTATGAATACATTTGTATTCCTCGCACAATCCTTATCGGTTTTCTTTCTATCTTTCTGTTCATTCAGGAGATCAATTGGTGCTCCATTTGTCTGACCTCATCCGAATGGCCTTCATGGCAGCCACAGACCACAGTAACCAGCTGAGGATGGCTGGCCTGCAGGCCCTGGAAGACATCATTAAAAAGTTTGCTTCCGTACCAGAACCCGAGTTTCCAGGGCACGTTATCCTGGAACAATACCAGGCCAATGTAAGTCAGATTGCATAATGTTGCAGATGTCCCAAATTAATAGTGATGCAGCAAATGTGAATCAAAATCGAAGAAGTGAACATTGTACTATTCTTGAATGCATTTAGGTCGGAGCTGCCCTCAGACCTGCATTTTCACCTGATACACCATCTGACATCACAGCTAAGGCATGCCAGGTAAGGCACCCTGCTTTGTTAACAATTATTTAGAAGAAACATTTTAGCAGCTGAATTGGTTACAAACCATTTCACTTTACTGCCCTGTTTATACTATAACATTCAATATAATGAGCAGTCCTTACATATATTAAAGGTTCTGTATGTGTCTTTCAGAAAATACTCATTAATAAGAGAACTGCCATCAGCATCCTGTTCTCATGCTCGCACTCTGTAGGTGTGAGCGAGCACCTGGGCATTGGCTAGTAACAGTGACATGACATAGGCGTACACAAGACTGACCTAATTGACTGGCATCATGTTGATAACACGCGTTTGCAGTTTAATTTATCAGCTAATGTAATGAAGTAATGAACTGCTAATCCATGCAGGGTAGCTTTACAGCTAGCTGGCTAATCTTAGCATAGGATATGGTTAGCTAGTTGGCTGCTCCTGCCTTACTTCGCTATTGGCTAGTAGAAAGGAGTCATTAGTTATACACCTTTGCTTTGTACTGTTACATATTTTATTGTTGCCTAAATCAACATTATTTGTCATAATGCATAAATTAGTTTCATTGATCATGTTAGCTGGTTAAGTAATTACGCAAGTTAGCCAACTAACATAGCAATATTGTTAGCAAACAAGCAAGCTAAGGTTAGCCAGCTAGCTGTAACTAAGCCAAGCTGCATGTATCTGGCATTGGCTGCTTTGTAACATTAGCTGATATATTAATTTGCTAGTCAGCACACCCTACAGATTCTCCGTCGCACTCTCCGCCACTAGGACACTACTTGGCTGGGAGGAGAATACACATTCCTGCAGCCCTAACTGAAGGTCCGTCTCAGCCGGGCTGCTGCTGCAAAACGTATTTAATGCAAACACAGTATGTGTGGACTCAGTTATGGCGTTTGACGTTTGTGAACTCCATTTATAAGTTAATATCTGTTGCACTTTAGCACTGTAGCAGAGGCAGATTAACAAAACCTAGGATAGGGAAGGAATGGCCCACCTTACTCTGCCTTACTCTGGCTCTGATTGGCTTACACTGACATTCTTACCCTAACCAGTCCTGCTCCTCTTGCCTAAACCTAACCAGTCCAACTAACAAAGGCAATGAGTACTAGCCAGTCGTAGGGAGAGGAGGGCAGGTCTTTTTTTTTGCAAACCTAGGATTCGCGAATTTGCCTAGTGGAGCTGAAGACAGGCAAGGCACTCGGGAACATGTTGCTTGAGGAAACTGAGAAAGTGGCACATGGTCTTGCAGTCCGTTCGCAAATGGCAATAAACAACAGCTAATACATGTCAAAAGTTTCGTACAGAACCTCTAATGTATTTGATGATCTCAGAGGCTTTTGTAGCTATGCTGCTCCAATGGTTATTAATTACCGCTGCACAGTGACTCATCATCCCCTTAAAACCCAGCAGTGTCAAGTTTTCTTAATGCTCTTTGACTTATTTCATACTGATGAGAAGAATGTGTGACAGTGGAAAATGACAAACATGCCTGTCAGCAGTATTACTAAAAAACCCTTCTCTCTGTGACATCCCCCTCCGTATCTCTGGCTCAGGGTTTTTGCCTGCTGAGACTATTTCTGCTCTTTCTTAAAGCCGATAGCTTGATGTCAGGGTTTCTCTTTTGTAAATGGAATAACTGACTAAGAACAACATAGAAAACAAAATAAATACCCATGATACAGAGAATAGTGTAAATAAACCAACAAGGTAATGAGATGGCTTGCAAATTCCATTTACATCATAACTGACTTGTAATTGTCCTTCACCTGCTCTTGGTTGCCTGACACTCTAATAGCAGTTCTTCTCAGATGGATGTAATATTATAAATGCATGCTCCACTTGCACAGCCATAACACGTCAGCCTTATTTATTAATAACTGTTCTTTGACACCCCCAACCCCTTTAATGATGACTAATCAACCTTCAACACTGTTATGTAATGTGGGTTTTTAATTTTTCTCATTAGTTGTAAGGGAAGTAGTAGCTAACAGGCTGTGGGTGCTGTAAATGTTCATTTCGTTTTACCATTTATTATCTTGACCCCTTTATGTGACTACAGGTGTGCAGTACATGGATTGGCAGTGGCGTAGTCAGTGACCTTAATGACCTACGGCGAGTCCACAACCTGCTTGTGTCGTCGCTGGACAAAGTGCAGGCTGGAAAGGGCTCATCCAGTCAGCTGTACAGTGAGAGTGCCACCACGATGGAGAAGCTGGCTGTGCTGAAGGCATGGGCTGAGGTGAGACTGAAGATCAGAGCGCTATCCTATAATTGTTACGCCGCAAGTGACAAAGCTGACTATACACACTGGCTTTCTCTCTCAGGTTTATGTGGTGGCGATGAAGATCAAGAAAGAGGCAGAGTCCAAGCCTGCCAAACCAGTCCGAACTGGAGATGAGGACGAGGATGACGAGGATCTGGGTGCCGACGTGCTTCCGCCCGACAGCCTCATCATTTTGGTGCAGCCAGAGCTGCCCTCGCTGAGCCGCCTGTGGCTGGCCATGCTGCGAGACTACGCTCTGCTCACTCTGCCCGCTGAGTTTTCCAGCCTGCTGCCTCCTGACGGTACAAGTCAGACTCTTGCCCACAAAAATCTGGATCAAATCTCTTTATAAGTGCGGACACATGCACATAACAATGCAGGCTTGCAGTGTCTCTAATAGTACATGGATATTTAGCCCACTTCAAGCTCTAGTTTTTGAGTGCTTTGCTCTAGTTTTGGCCCTATGAAAGTTGTGATTGTATTCTCTGGAGAGCAACTACAGACAAAAAAAACTTCAGTGTGATTTGAACTGTTTTTAATAAATGTCAACAAAAACAACAGCAACAAAACAACAACTATCAAATTACCGTTTTGATGAGATGTTTCAGCAGATTGTTGGAGCTGTCTTGAGGCATGTGTTCTTAAATTAGAATTTGTCATTTGTTTACCAGTAGGCGAAATATACTTCATATTTCCAGTGGCCTAAACATAAATATATAATTTAAGAGCATATATTTTAATATCTGTGTGTCTACTTTAATTAATGTGGTGCATTTGTAAACAATTAAAATCACATTTCGAAGTAATATACTCAAAGCAAATAATTTCCTATTTTTGCGTGTCTGTGTTCAGGTGGAGCGTTTTATACTCCAGAGACTATAGACACAGCAAGGCTCCACTATCGGAGCTCGTGGGCCCCTGTACTGCACGCTGTGGCCCTATGGCTTAGCAGCACTGGGTTCGGAGCTGATGAAGAGAAAGAAGAAGTCCCCTCAGCTGTCTCCAAGGCTCCTGCCATCCCTCCAGCAGCCTCCTCCACCACAAAGACTTTCGAGGAGTCGGTCAAAGACAGGATGCATCTGATGTTGGGTAAAGAGTCACACATCATTTGTGGTATAATGTATTCAGGTTACTGTGTTTTTGTTTCAGACTGTTTGGCTTTAACTGAGATGTTCCTCGAGAACACTCAATACCCCCAGGTATTCTTCTAAAAATCTGAACACCTTTTCATGGTGACTGCTTTTTGTTTACCTTGCAGCTGTGGGTCCACCTCGCATCTGCTGACAGTAGAAGGGATGGTGGTGGACAGAAAAAGAGAAAAGCATGAACACACCCTAAGTGCATTTCTGTGTTCTGTCTCTCAGGTGTCAGTATAGAGTTTCTTTGCTTCCCCCGGCCCGAGGAGCCCATCGAACATGTGATGTCCTGCCTGCGCGCTCTTTTCACTCTGCTAGAATCTCCATGTGCTAAGCACCATATTGCAGAGGACCAGGTAAAGACACAAGTCGGAGACGAGGAATTACATACGCAAGGAAGAGAGACATGTTGGAAGATTTGTACCACTCTCTTAGAATTTGACATTTGTTTTAAAATGTATTCTGAATTACACACTCAGCGTGACATCTGAAATAATATTTAAACTGTGCTGCAATTTATACCTGCATTTTAGGAAACAGAATTTGTTTTTGCTTAGGCTATTTGTATTTTTGAAACTGTTTGTAAAATTATTTTTCAATTTTTCAATTAAAAAGCAGCACAACTGTCAAATGTTCACAGAAATTCAACCACTGCATAAATTAGAAATTCCAACTGACAAAGCACGACTTTGTAGTTGTTTCATTGCTTTAGTTCAAGTGATATATTTACCAGTGACTGATCATCACCTTAGGGCAAGTATCTGATAAATACAACAGGGTCATGTGATATTTACTGACTTTACGAGGCAGCAAGGATCGCTCCAACGCTCCACTAAACAATTGACCGCTGCACAATGGATAATGGGATATTGAGAGCTTCATACGATACATAGATTGTGTCCCACAAATTCAGTAAAAAAGCAGGTTATATTCCTCAGCTGCATTTAGTGGAGCCTTTGAAATGGGACAGGTCTTTGTCGGCCAGTGACGTATTTGGTCTAGAGGTGTGGACTTGAGAGGATCCAGCCGTTAAACTGGGACACAGCATGTGTCCGTCTGGTGCTGCCATGCAGTCATTACAGTCTCCTGTCACAGAGTAGAGCCACGTGCTATGTTTGTGTGCTTGGACACACAGAGATATCGTTCTCACCTCTTGCCTGTTTTATATAAAAATGAAGATTTTCTGTTGTTTGAATAGCAAAAAAACCCCAAACAATTTATGTTAACATGTAGTATGAAAGTATTTGAAGATGTTTTTATGGTTTATATGGAGGTTCACCTCCGCCAGTGTGATGAAAAAATGATCCTGTCAGTCATTATAATGAGTTTTGAGTTTCTCAAAATGATAACATCTTTCTCAAAATAATGAGAAATGATACAAAGTCATTTTTCTGAGAAAGTTTCTTATTATTTTGAGATATTTAGTAAATTATTTTGAGACATAAAGTCATCATTTTGAGAAAATTCTCTATTATTTTGAGAGCATTTCTTATTATATTGAGATACAAAGTTATTTTAAGAAAATTTCTCATCATTTTGAGACACTAAGTCATTTTTTTGAGAAAGTTTCACAATATATTAGGATACTAGTCATCATTTTGAGAAAATTCCCATTATTTAGAGATGCTTAATTAGTTTTTTTTTGACATAGTAACTCAATATTTGAGAACATTTCTCATTATAATGACGTGGAATATCCTTTTTTTTTCATCACGCTGACAGCAATGGACTTCCATAGCATTGTAACATAACGCTGAGAAACTCTGTGTAACACTTGCCCATTTACCACTCTGATAAAACACCTGCTCGTGGACCTGTTGGCAGCGCGCCAGCACAGAGGAATAGGACGTGTTGGGCATTCTAAATATCAGTGTTCACATTCCCAGTGTTTCCCAGTGGTATAACTGTAAATGATATTTCTGTTGTAGCTGCTGGCAGTGGAGCTCCTGAACGTGCTTCACAGGCTGCTGTTGACCCGGGATCCTCCGGCTGTACAGCTCCAGGTCACTGCTGTCGTACAGGAGACCATCAGGGCTGCGCAAGACCATCTGCAGCGACAGAAGACCAGCAAGGGTCAGGAACTAACACATTCTACAGGTTCAGCCCTGTTTACATTACATTATACCTAAACACTGTTATATTCTGAATTTTAGTTTAAGTTAAGTTAAGTTTTCTCGTCAAAGTAAAGCTGTTTAAATTATGTAGCTGTTTGAGTGATCTAGGTCACTGTGTCATTTTGCTCAGGCAAAGAGGAAGAAGGCGAGAAAGATTCTCAGCCCAGCCTTGGGGAAGGAGGAGACACAGGGGAGCTCGTCCCCGGCAAGTCTCTGGTGTATGCAGCCATGGAGCTGCTTGTGTTCATCCTGGTCCGCCACTTGCCACAGCTTAACACACGTGTGAAGGAGTCACCCAGCCATGTGCCACTCAGGCCTCAGCGACTACCAGAGGAAAGTGCCCTACTGGTGGCAAACACTGTTTCCATCCTGGCAGAACTCCCCTCGCTCTGCTCTCCTGCTGGTGAGGCCTGAAGCAAACTGCACACACACACACACACACACACACACACACACACACAGAATATGAAAAAAGACAAAATCAAATCTCTACAATCACGGTACACATTGATAGCAAGTTTCTGTTCCAGCTTGGATGTTTTATTTAGAATTAATTCCGTTCTTGGCCCGCATTGTTCAGGTTTGTGTATGCTAATGATAAATTAAACTCTTAAACTCACACAGACAAGGCTTCTTTGTGCTTTTCAGTTATCATAATAAGGTATTAGAAACTGCTATATGCATTTGTGTGAGATTAAGAGTAAGTATGAATATTATTAGCATAGCAATGTGGTGTTCACGCTTAAACAGTTTCTCACACAGTTTCTTTTGGCCTTTTACAGGAAGCATGACCATCCTGCCCACGGTGCTCTTCCTAATCACGGGTGTGCTGAGGGAAACTGCAGTTAAGACTACTGACAATTCGGTGCCTGTGACTGTGTCAGCTGCCCTGCAGGGCATCAAGACCATCATCACCTCCCCTCTGGCCCGGGTGGAGAGCATGCAGACACAGTGGACCGGCCTTGTGAGGAGCAGCCTGGCGTCTGTACTCGAGCACTCACAGCCAGGTAAGCAAATACACACACATTTGATCGTGACCTCAGGCCTTTTTTTGAAGGGGGGCAAAAAATTATGACATTGTTTGTTTGTGTGCGACTGAAGATGAGTCCAGGCCTGACATGGATGAGGTCAGCATGTTAACAGCGATCACACTCTTCCTGCTGTCAGCCAGCAATGAACTTGTAGGAGTCACCGTCCTGCAGAAGGGCTGCATGGACCGCTTCCGAAATGCCCTCAACTCTAGTGATCCCTGGGTAAGTATCTGTGTGTACAAACACAGCTGAAGTATGAGAATCTCAACCTGGACAAATTTTGAATGCCCCGTCAAAAAGTGTTTTCCAGATTCCACCAAGTTAAGTGATTCATTTTTACCACAGGTTCAAGCACGATGTTACCAGCTGCTGTTGTCAGTGTTTCAGCATTCCAGCCGTGCCCTCTCTACTCCGTACATCCACGTTCTTGCTCCACTCATGGTGGAGAAGCTGAAGGCAGTGGAGCGCAGTCGGCCAGGGACTGCTGCCGAGCTGCAGGCTGTGCAGGAGGGCATCAGGGTCTTAGAGAATCTGGTTGGCATGGGTGAAGAGCAGAACCGTAAGTACGCCTTTGCCTAATGGACCACTAAAGTACTGTATTTGTTCCATTAAAGCGTTTAGCTCCGTTAAAGTAGGTCTCTTAAAGTATTTAGCTCAGTGCCTTTGGACGTGTGCTGTCAAAGATCGGAGCAGTAGAGCATTAAATGCTAAATTTAGAACCCCTGCACTGGTTTACTGTCAATTTCACTATTGATTCCAACATTATGCTATATTAGATATTCTATATTATTTATTTAAATTATACATTTTGTGTTTTGTTTCTCCTGTTCATGCACCCTCTAGTTTTTATTTCCCTAGTAATGCAAAAAACACTGCACACTCACAGAAAGTTGATTGATTTCATAGTTTATTCCATGTTTGGTGTTCAGACTATTTTTGTTTGAGATGCAGCTTGTGCTATGCATTGCATATTTAGGGCTGCAACTATGGATTGTTTCTGTTACAAATTCATCTGCAGATTTTTACTTTGATTAATCCATTACCCTATAAAATGACAGCAATCAGTAAAAAATATCCATCAGAAGTCTTGTTTTGTCCAACCAACAGTATTCAATAAGAGTAAACAACAACAATAAACAATAATAAGTGCTGTATTGTCAGTAAAAAGGAACAAGGAAAAGCAGCAAATCTTCAGTCTGGTGAAACTGGCACCAGAGTTTGGTCATTTTAGGCAATTAAGAACATTTTCTGTCGATCATCTTGCATTTCATGACCCATAAATAGTTTCTGTCCATCCAGTGTATATGTCAGTTTATTTCTTTTAGTGCAAACAGACATCTTTTCAACCTCTCCAAGCCTTTCCAAATGTGTTGTTGGCACCACTATCGCAAAGACAACTGGATTCCATTTTTCTCAGAGCCTAGCAACTACAAACAACACATTAACAACATTAATAGATAATATTGATAAGTAGGCAGGTTCTGTTACTTATTGATTTAGCAGACAGAATGCCAACTGACTGTCAGATAGTAACCCTCTCCAGTCCAGCAGCTCTCTCCATTGACTGAAAGCCTGCCGGATGTTCACTCTTGCTTTACCTCAGTTGTTATCACTCCCTTTTTACCGACTTTACTTCCTCTCTTAACGGGGCTCTTTTTCCTTTTACAGGTAGAGTTTTCACAGTTACTTTGGTTTTTCCACTATCTGCCATTTCTGCTACTGTGGATAGTAACTGCAAAGAACTTACATTGACACTCCTAGGCAATGGACCCTTATCACAGCAGACATTTTGACATTTCATAGCAGGAAAATCACAGTCGTATTCAATAACAGTAATGACAGCTGGATTCCACTTAGGGGAGGCCCTGGTATTGTGCATGCTGGCTCAGTGGAACAGCATACAGGGACATTTAATGGGACTGAGCCGTTGTTAATGTTATCAGTTTTACCTGTGCTTTCCCTACTGTGACAAGTCAAAATGTCTGCTGTGAAAAAGGCCCATTGAGGACAGCTAGCGATGGCTACTGGGGAAAACAAAAGCACTGTCTTTTTCATGTTTTGGTTGCACAATGGTTGACACACTTCCTTTGTGCAGTAAATCAAGCCTTCATTTTCCCAGGAGATGGTACCTGGTGGCGGACAGAGTATCGTGAAAGGCTTATAGGGAACCAAGAAAAAAACGTGTCCATTTCCTCTCTCAAATCTGGCACATCTTGTCTACTACGTATAAATTATTGATGCAAAACTGTGCTTCTAGCATCCCTCAGTTGTTACTTACTTAATACATATATATTGTCATGCAGATATAGAGATACACATACCTGATCCTGGTTGCTTTGATGTTACTTTGGCGTATTCTGAGACACATTCGACAGTATGGTGAATTGATCTGTCAGGGGCTTTTGGTAAACACTGTCTTGTGGTCTCCTGAGTTGGATTTGTGGCTTCGCTTCCATTTGTGTTGGAAGTGCAGTTAAACTCTCCCCATGCTTAACTGAGATCTAAGTCGTTTTGCTGTTAGTGATTATGTTTTTTAAGGTCTCATGTTATTATGTGTTTAATAGGGGTGCAGTTGCTGGCTCTTCTTGTACCAACTCTCGTCTCCTACCTTCTGGATGAAAATGCCATCTCCTCTGCGCCCCAAGTCTCCAAAGGCCTGCATGATTTCGCCCTTCAGAACTTAATGCGGATTGGCCCCCTCTATCCAGCTGCCTTCAAGATAGTAATTGGTGCAGCACCTGAGCTTAAAATCCGTTTGGAATCTGCTATACGGGCCAACCAGGCCAGCAGCAGAGCCAAAGCTGCAGCCAGGCAAGCTCAGCCGACTGTGCAGGCTGCACCGACCATCAAACTCAAGAAGAGCTTCTTCTGAACTCTCCAAAATGCACTGCACACTCTCACAGCCTGAATTAATGTTATTGTTTTAGGTCTGTTTTGTTGTCTGTCAACAGAGAACCACATGTCATGTCTGCGTCAGCCACAGTTTATGAAGTGTATTTATTTATTCTACATCTCATTTTTGTTTTTGATGGATGAGAACTTCTCTTTAAGTCAAGAAGGAAATTATGTAAATATTAAAAAGCTTTTGAATGTTAACTTTAAAAACAAAACTCACTTTAAAATCTGTAGGAAATTGTGTGAATGTATCATTGCATTTATAAAGGGACACAATTTACTTTTTTTGTCTGTTCGTATCCCTCACTATCCAAAAGCTGATGTTTACTGTGCCACTTTTCTCTGTGATATTACATCACTGTGAACATGGCAGTTATTATTTGTTCCTTTTGATTCCAATCATGCATGTTTGTTTAATGGACCTGGTTTAGTATATGACCTTAGGGTCTGCTGATTGTTACAGATGTTTTTTGGGTTGTTTTTTTTTTTTTTTTTAAGTTTTTTGTTTCCTTGTTTGAAGAGGCGATTTTCTCTTAAATTATTCTGTAAACCTTCCTGCTACTTGTTCTTAAACACAACTGAGAAAATCACCTTTTGATTGTTAATTTGAGCCTAGAATGAGATTTTAGTAGAGCCCTTTGAATAATAAATGCATTATGTTTTCAACTTGTTTGGGGGCAGAAATTGTAATTCTCACAGAGACAGTTAATTAGTCTGTTGATAAATGGGGGGGATACTACATCATTTAATTTATGTGCTGCATATCATACAGACGGTTGTGTTGCCAATAACTGATTTTTGATCCAAATCTGCTTATGTGTAATAGCTACATGAGTGAGTGAGTGTCAGCTTCCTTCATACATTGGCAGATTTGTTGAAATGGCTATGTTACACTGCACCTTCATTTCTTTGAAATGTGAATAAAGTTACTTTGACCTCACTGTGCTGATGTCTTTGTTACACATTTTGGCCTTGGCTAAACACAGTTTTTTTTAAATAAAGACTTCATTTGGGACAATAGAAACCTACTATATAAAAACAAATCTCTATTAATGCGAAATGGATCATAAATAATATCTTGGTGAGCCAGTTAAAGGACAATTGAGATTTACTTAGCGACTCACAATTCCTCAGCAAATTTGGTACACCAGTAACTCCAAAGGAGCGTGCCTTAGTCATAGATGCAATCCCTTATGTGGTCATAATGCTGTTGAAAGATGCAACAAAACAAAGACCTATGTCTCCAGCGCTGAATCCAGCTGATTCTCATGTGAGTCAGATATGCTTCTTATCGAGCAAAAATAACAAGAGAAGGATACGTCATCTATCTCAGAAAGATGTTGTCTCTGTTCCCTATGTGGTTACTTACTGGAACAGCTTTACCTTAATTGGAAGAACAACTGGAATTAACATATTGTACACAGATATTACCCAGCTTATCATTATCTTAAGTTAAAAGAGGACATTGTTTATCCAGTGTAGTACACCCAAAACATTTGTTCATCTGTTTTGGCAGTGTACTCATACTAAAAGGCTTTGGGAGGACTGGAGTAGATTTGCTATTGATATTACAGACCCTGATTTCACTTTATGCCTAGAAAATGTTTTGTTTGATTTCGCAGCAGTAAAATCAAGAATGCTATATTGTTATTCTAATATTTTGTGGCAAAATCCCATACCCACAAATCTAATCTATATTTCTATATCCTCATTTATTACAGTTGAAAATGAATGAAACCAAATGACACCAAGCAAAACATGAAAACCATTTACTCCTCCAAAAAACAAGAAATCCATTAAGACGATGAATTTGTGCATCTTTTTAATGTGTTTCCATGAATGAATATTGTCTTCTGGCTTTGCATATGTACACTGTCCCCTGGCATGTCTGTTTGTATTTACTTGTTTTACTGTTATTGATTAATATTAATATTTGTATTTGATTGTTCTATTATTAGACAAAGTATAAATGCTGATACAGGATCTATAACATAATGCTACTTCTCTGGTAAAATGTGTAAAAGAAGGAGAGTATGTTTCTCTGGCCACTCTGGGTGAGAGAATCGAGCGCCCCCAGCCAACATGCTGTGGGCGTGGCCGCGGCTACTGACGTCATCCACTGACAGCTAGCTGTCAGAAAGTGAGTTCATTCCCTCGAGCCGAGGAGACAGAGCGCAGTCGATAGGTTTTTGCCCTTCCGTTGATATCTACCGCCACGACTCAGCGAGACAACGGACAGACCTTTCCACCGAGCCCGGCCATGGACGAACAGGCGGGGCCCGGCGTGTTCTTCAACAATAATAACAACTCTGTTTTACCCGGCGGTGGGAAAGGACCGCTGCCCGATGGCGACGCTGGGGAGGCGGCTAGGGCGCAGTACAGTATCCCGGGGATCTTGCACTTCCTGCAGCACGAATGGGCCCGTTTCGAAGTAGAGAGAGCACAATGGGAGGTGGAGCGGGCCGAATTACAGGTGAAAACTACCACATTTTATGTATACTCGGCCATATATTAATGGCCCTAGCGCAGCTCATTTCTTGTAACTCGCGCTGAGTTCCTGTGTTTGATTGTTCTGGTTACTATGCTAGCTTGTTAGCTTTAGCTCAGGAGCTAAAGGAGCTGCAGCGCCCCCCTGACCCGACTGCACGACGGCTGTTTTGCGACCTCTCTACTGTGACTGAAACCACTAAACTTGCGTGATGCCTTTAGGAGTTGCAGGACAGGTGTTGGAGTGGCTTTTAGAGAAAAATAGGCCTGGTTAAATGACCAACTGTTAGCTGCATTTGCTAGCAAAACAGTGGATGTGTAATGCTAAAACGTTGTGTAGAAACCCATAACGGTTACCTTTCTACTTAAAGCTAAACGTATAGCACCCCGCCTTTATTTTTTTTTATTGCATTTTACCTTTAAACCACCAAAAATGACGAGGGGAAGAGGCAGTAGTTTTCTTAAGTGCTTTGATCTCTTTAGAGCTGTCAGTGCAGACGGACAGCTTACAACCCACAAGAGACTGTGGAGTCAGTCTGTCTTGTTTATGAACCTTATCATAAGCTAGCTGCAATGATACTGCCACTCCTGAAGAGAAAACTGAAAATGATGTCATGCCTTTCTTTGATAAAAGCCACGGGGCTTTAATTGGTCCTATTAACTGGTCCACGCTTTTTATAGTACACCTGACCCTCACTTGATGGTTGAACAACTAGAATATTTAGCTATTTATAAGATAGAGGAAGGCAATATATTTTCCTGCTGTGAACCAAAAATGTCCAAAGGGAAACATGACACAAATCAGGACAGTTAATGTGTAGTTTGCTTAAACCAGAAGTTAATGTTTTGCACGTACTCCAGTTCACTTTGAAATATGTATTGTTGTGTTATCAAGTTCAACTAGACTTTTAACTTTTCAGTTTGATTCCACTGTTGGGGAGTACAAAGTGCTGTACCAGTCATCTTACTGGTGCATTGGCTGACATGAGTAATGTTTATAGATTTTGCTTTAACTGGCTCTAGAAACTATCATCACCAGCGCATGTTATAGGCTTTTCATACCTAAGGTAGGGGAAATGACTTAGGACACTATGTGCCAGACCATTCTTACCCAGCATTTTAAGTAAGTATTGTTACAGCTTATTACTGTTTAACTTAAGTCCCCATGCCTTATGTTTGGAAGAAAATATTTTTTTCTTTCCATCATTTTGACCTAGTTGTGGGGCCATTGTTGTTGGATCACAGACAAGAGCCAGCACTGACTTTTTTGGGTCTGGCAGCAGGCAGCTCCACCGACAGACTGACCTTAACTAACAAAGAGATGAGAGGGAGACACTGCACACTGCATTGTTTTTAGCTCGGTGACGTATACCCTGCTCACTGTAGTAGGGTTTTGACTCATCTGGCCTGTGTATTAAGCTTCCTGTCTGCTGTCATGAAGCAAGCTTATCAGCGCAGTAGCAGCAGCAACTGCGGCAAAGCACAGTGAGGTTGCTAAATGGCTTATTGGGTGGTTTGTTTGTGGCGGCAAAACAGTGCGCGCTCAATTTGAGTTCTTGTTTTTGTTGCACCTAACCTCAAATGTGAGGATGGCTGATGTTTTGAACATAATTTAACCTGCAGTATGCAGTTTTAATTAAAATGTCTGGCTTACCCACAACTGTACTCTAAGCACTGTGGCACAGTACCTCTCTGAATAGATGTTTTAAAATTAATTTTGTCAGCTGTGACCATTTAGTCTAGTCTCTCTTATAATATCATTTTGTGCCAGAGCTGCATAATACCAAAGCAATAACGACAAATCAACTATAGAAAAGCCTTGAAAATCCTCATATGATATAACCTTGTTGTGTCCTTGAGGGATGTATATATTTATTGTAAACACATACAATGTTTTTACCCATAGAGGGTGGATTAATCTTCAGTGAAGGGACCATAGTGAGAAAGAAAAGATAGAAAGTCATTTAGATGATCCTAAATAGACATGTATGAATAATGAAAAGTTCCAGTGGGCTCAGAGCGTTAATGGAAGATACCATATAGCAACTACTGTATGTTCTTTTTGGTCCACTTCATCCCTCTGCAACATGCTGCTCAAAGTGCTCATCATCATGTCCGCACACTCGTGTTTAGTCACTGAATCAAAACTGACTAATATCTTGCATGTTTTAAGAAGGTTACATACCTGGTTTCAGATTAGAGACCATTAAGAACGTACATAAAGTGATGTCGCAACCCGCTGAACACTCTCCTCCAAGGATTTTTGTTCTTGTTGTTGTGTAGACACTGAATGGAAGACAGTTGAAGCTGTGCCTCACGTTGCTGTTTGGGAGGAACGCGAACCCCGGGGCTTGTAGGAATGTCGTCCAGCCAGCCTGTTAGGTCATGCTCAGAGCCGCTCCTCTCTAATGAAGCAGCACAGAAACTGTACTGTACATGCCCGACTTGTCCTGCCGCTGTGTTGTTTCTTTGTAATGTATAGGCTGCTGTCATTCATGATTAAGTTCTAGTTGAGTGGTTATTGATAATCAATTGATTGACTCAATAAAGCTTATTTGCTCAGCTGGTGATTAGTTACACGCCAGTCAATCTGGAGTATGTTGTTTTGGTAATGAAAGTGACTATGGGTGCAACTATTGATTAGTTAATTATCAGTTAATAAACTCTTTATTCTTCAAATAGTCGAAAAATAGTGGAAATGACCTTTACATGTCTTCACGATGCTCACACTGGTGAAAAATGTCCATCATAGTTTCCAAGGTGACATCTTCAGGTGTCTTGGTTTTTCTGACCAATAGTTTACAATTAAATAAAATGGTGAATACCAGTAAATATTCCCAGTTTAGAAGATGAAACCAGAGAATGTCCAAATGATTTCAAGCTTATTGTAATCTAAAGGACAAAACAAGCTTTTGTTTTACATGTCTGCAGAGAGTTACGATGTCTTACATAACAGTAGAAGACAGTCAATTGTATTGAAGTGAAATTTGATTGAAAGTGATTTTGCAAACCTTTGTAACATATTCCTGGGCAATATATTGATATTATATTGATATTGTGATATGAGACTAGATGCCGTTTTAGATTTTGGATGCTAAAATATTGTAAGTGTTGTCTTTTCCTGGTTTTAAAGGCTACATTACGGTAAAGTAATGTGGTGAACTTACCAGACTGTTCTATCTTTTCTATTATGCCTTAACCAACCTAGCCATTGTATCCAAATTAGTGATGATTACTTATGGACAGTGTCATTGTAAATATGTTTTGAATGCACCAATAGTCAATTCTACAGTATTGAGGCATTTGGTCAAAAATGTTGCAATATTTGATTTTCTCCAAACCATTCAGCCCTTTTTTAACATATATTAATCAGAAAAAATAATCATATATATATTATGATATTGATTTAATTGATATCCGCCTGCCATACTGATTAGAACAGATCTTTTCCAG